CTCCAGTGGGAATTGAACTTGTACTCAACCGCTTGGGGGTGCGACAACTTCACCACTTCACTAAGTCGCCACACCCTGTAAATATCTGATTGTATTTAAATAATATAATAATTATATTTAATATTTTTTGAATTGAAATAGGTAGTGAAGAAAGTGATAATATGTCTATATTTCCAATAATACTAGTATTACTAGTACGACAACTTCATCACTTATTAGATCAAAGCTATAAATCTCTAAATCAAAAATAGTAGAAAACTTTATAATTAGAAATATTACCCTTAAAGAAAAATCTAAATTTAAAAGTTTCCTTCTTAGAATGACTATCTCAAATAGATAGGCTTTTTACTAGTTTAATAATCCAGAAATATTAGAATTTTTCAAATTTTTAAATCCAAATTTTGTACTTCCAGGCTGAGGTGCATTGTCTAACAGAATATTAAAAATAGAATTAGATAAATTATCAATATCTTAGAATCAACTTTTAAAAAAGAATGTTACTAGCATAACACTTGCTTTTGATAGGTAAAAAATATACTAAAACAACATATTTTTGATATACTCTTTATTTTATCATCTGGTAAGATATTAATTTGGAAAACATTTAATATAAGTGCTGAGTGAGAATGTATAATTGAGGTCATATCTAAAATCAAAACTTTAATACAAGACGCTAAAAATCTTGGTGCAAAGTTAAATACTATTGTCTCAGATAATACATCAGCATATACTAGTACAAGGTAAGTTAATTGTATTTTAAAGATTTATTTTTAATATTATTTTTTATAATAACTATTTTTTAATAGATGTCACTTTTGAATTAAATTTTCTCAAATTGTTTTCTTATCTTGTTTTGTCTATTAGTACAATCTTGCTATTAGAAAAATTTTTAAAAAATCTAATGAATTTAAAATTACCTCAAAGCAAGCTATTACTATTATATCTTATTTTAATAATGCAATAAATTCATATTGAATTGGAAAACTTCGAGAAGCTCAAGCTCAAGTTTATCGAAAATTTATAATATTAACCTGTTCAGATAATACAAGATAGAACTCGTATTTTTATTGTTTTAAAAGTTTGCTTAACCTTTAAAGATATGTTAATGAAGTTAAATAAAATAAAATTTATTTTAAATTTAATTTTATTATTATTTTTTTTAGAACTTGGCTATTGTATAGAAATCATCTTCGGAATCTATAAGAAATGAAGAAACTGATATTGCAAATAATATTCAAATATCAAATAACACAAATAATCTTTATTTACTTCAAAAAATTACTACTATTTTATTTTTTTTTCTCAAAGCAGCAATCTCGCCTGTATATCTTTATTATTAGTAATATAATTATATTAAATATATACAGTGGTTTATCAACGAAAGTATAACTAGCCATACGTATAACTTTAGTTATTATCTAATTAAGGGTTCCGCCCATAGGTTACCCACTAGATACCATACCTGAGACCCATCTCTGAGTCTCCTATTTAAACTTTCTGATTTTCAATACTATCTGCATATATATGCAATACTTATATTACTATTAAGTGATATATCAGATTAGGGGCTGTTGATTACTATTTATATCAAAGTACTACCTCATTGGATATTACTATATATCCATAGTTCTACATGTCACCCTCGATACAAACTACTAAGTATGGTACCAAGATTACTATCTAGATTTTATCCAATTTTAGTATATCCTGTATTTATTGAAACCAGTTTTTGTACCAGAGGTGTTCGAATTTTGGTAAGTTTATTCCTTTCCCATAGCTTCCTTTTATGTTCGCCATATTACCCACTAGTGCATCTTCTCTCTATTTCTGGTATGTTCACCACTTTTCTCGTATTGAGCACCAACTCTCTATATTGGGAGGCTACTTTCTAAGAACTTCCTTATATACCAATTTTCTATTTACATGAACTTTGCCACAGGGCTTCACGTACATTCATATGCTTTTGTAGATTACAAAGTTTTACCTTTAGCTAGAATTGGACTGTTGACCTTGTCTGTGGAGGAAGAGTGCCTAGACTACTAGACTACAGGATCTCATCCCTTACTACTATTTTATTAAATAATAATTTTTAGAAACAAGTTGCTAAAATTAAAAAAATTCTTCTTCTATATTGTGATATTCTTAATAAACTCCAATATGATACTACTTGTTTTCATGATATATTGCAAGTATTTAGCAGAATTTTAAGGTTTTGGAAAAAGTATAATGATATAAGCTTGTCACAATGTATGATCGAAAGATTAGAATACCAATAGAAGCAATAGAAACAACCTTTGCTTCTTTTATCCTTTTTTTAAATTCCAATATTTGGAATAGTTGGTTTTTATTAATATAGAATATTTAAATTTCACATATCTAGCTAAATTTGGTATATATTATTATAAAGCATGGTTTTCTAGAAAAGTTTTATAAGGGTGTAGCGACTTAGTAAAGTAGTTAAGTTATCACACCCTAAGCAAAATGTTGGCTAGGTAAAGGGTTCGAAATTCACTATTGATAAATTTCGAATATTCTACTTATACAATGGCTACTATCTTTTGACAATTAGTTGAAACAAGATTTCTGTAATCTTGGTAGTACTAACAAGACTGAGAAATCATAGGGCATTCGTGCAATATATGAGTTATATGAAAATGTTCTTGGATTGTATAAATCCAAGAAACTAGAAAGATAGATACCCACTTGGCAAAATCTAAGTAAAGAGATAGCACAGATCTTTGACAGTACTACGTAAAAGATTATTATCTGAAAAAACTAAAAAACTGAACAGGACTGAGGTGTATAGCAAGGCACCCCACCAACCAGGCTATCAGAGAATTGGAAAAAAGGATCTGTTAATACCAGGGGACTGGTAATCTGGTCTGGGTTGACTCTATCAGATAAAAGTCCCTTCTGGACCATTTGAATTGGTAGTTTAGAATTCAGAAAGTAAGAATAATAGTCTGTAAAGTGTGTACTAGAGTTTGGGTGAACTCTACAAGGGCAGAAGTAGATAATGGTAGTGGTCTTAGCTTGCAATTACTTGTCCTCAGACTTGGCATAAGTTACTGAAATCTAGATTAGCCAGATTGTGGCTACGAAAAGCTCTAGCAGGTTTATCTTGAGGATAAAGGGCTCTCTAAAATAGCTGAAGCCTGCTTTAAAATCCTAAGCCAGGTGTCTAAAAATAAAGGGTCAGCACTGAATTCTTGCTTAGTTATAAAGGTTAACCCCATAGAGGGTTTAAATAGATAACTCCCTAGTTGGATTATAGGTATGACATCTAGTGTAGAACTTAGTATAAGTGGACTACTTAAATAGGCAATCAAAAGTTGTACATGTGGCTAGTATGTATTTTTCAAATATATATATGGTATGGGCTATCCCGAAAGGAAGAGCTTATCATACAGTAAAGTTAACTAATAACTGAATAAAAAGAGACAGCCAAGAAGTTACTTTAATATTAAAAAAAAAGAAAACCTTTATATATTCTTCTTGAATTAGAAAATTATAGAAAAGGATTATATCTATTTAATCTCTCAATTTATGAACAATTTGGTACTGATATTTTGGGATTTTGAGAATTTGTAGCACCTTCAACCAAGAAGTTGGGACCATTAGCATTATGCTTATTTGGCATCTATATAAATACTACATTGATTAAGCATTTGTGATACTCTATGAGCTTTTTATATACTATTTAATAAAGTCATCTTTAGATATTTTTTTAACAATAGATTTAAATACTAATCACATATATATTTTATACTTATTAGATCTATTTATTAAAAATAAAAATTACAAAGTTCTTGCGATGAATCAAATTCATATGTTAATTAACTATTCTCATCAATCTAGACAAGCTGAGTCATATGAATAATTATATCAAGATTCAAATATACTACAAATTGAATCTTTAGTAGAATGATTAAATATAATAAATAATGATATAATAGATCAAAAGTCATATGCAGATGAGAAGAAAAGCAGTTAATATATTTTGAATATTGCTAATTTAGAGAAATGGAATATTAGATTAAATGAATAGGAGCAGATGTTAATCGAAGAAGAATTAGTACATATTAAAGATCAAGAAACTGAATATAACAGATCTAAGTATATGCAAAGAGATTTATTATCAGAATATTGTGTTGATAATAGTGCTATATAGAATTTATGAGCTTGTTTGGCTCACTATTTGAAGTACCAATATATATATATACTATTAAAAATAAAATGTATTAAGAAAATATTTAATAATTTTAAAAGGTTATATATATCACAATTTGTTCAAATTAATAAAAATTAAAATTTAATTAGTTCATATATTTCAAATATTTGATTTGGTTAATTTAGTAAACACTTTATTACAAATAAATACCCAGAAAATAAAAATAAAATTTAATTTATTTTTACTTCGAATTGCAATAAACAACTTATTTTTATATAATCAAAATTTAATATATTTATTGTTATTTATTTTAAAGTAAAAGATTTTTTACTAATATTAATATTTACTAATAAAATAAATTTCTAAATACTGTAATTTAATTGGACTATATATATTACTTTCTAGTAAAAAAATCTTCCAATCGAGCCTTTTTGCTGAAAACATTGACTAGCTAGAACAATTTGGATATTAAGTAACTATCTAGTCTTCCAGTCAGCAACTTTGAATAAGAGTATAAATATGATAAAATTAAACTCAAAATGCTGGGTTTATATGAGAATTCTGTTTCTACTTTATTCTGTTTCTACTTACAACATATGCATATGGTGAAGTAAAGGTATGAATATATATTGAAACTTTGCATATTATATCTTTATATCTGAAGTAACACTTGCTTCTGTATTTTGTATCACATAAGATTGTTAGTCTAATTTTTAATATATAATATCTAATTTAGTAATTTATTTTCTTATGGTTATTGTCTAATTGCTGATCTTGATTATTATTCTGTATATAAAATTAGATCCTGATTCTGGATATTTAAATTCTATTTTTGTATTATTGATTTTTATCTACCTGCTATTATCTATAACACAATAGAACAATGCTTGTAAAATCATATATCAAAATATTTGATTTTTTTTTTGTTTTAGTGATCCTTCTTTTATTATTTAAATTGGTGTAGAATTATTTTATAAAAGCTAATTTATCTATAAATCTACATATGCCTGTACTAATATAGAATCACTCAATCTATTAACAAGAACCTATAAATAGATTCTGCAAGGAAGACCCAGATGCAACCTGCCTAAGTAGTTTATCTTTATCTCGTCTAAGATTTCTAATTTACTGAGAATTTATACTTCAAGAGTTTACAGTAGGTGCTCACTAACTTTGTCAGGATTACTTCCCTATATAATATATCACCAATTTGAAGAAAAATTCCCTAACAAAAAATTCTGAAAAGCAAATAAAGTAAGGGAATTACAAGAAGATGATATTTTAAAACAAAACAAATAAGAAAATGACTAAACTAATAAAAAGAATCTAAAGTACTAATTATAAAACTAAGAACCTATCTAACAAATTGGTATCTGCTAACCAAAATACTTATCTACTTAATTATAGTAATTATATAGAACTCAGATAACATAAAAAAAGAAAACTAAGCTAAATACACTTTGACTTGTGCCAAGGACTAAAAATTATATGTACATGATTTTGTCATTAGACTGCATATCTCAATTTCTTTTTATTACCCCAACTTTTAAATTCATATTCTATTTCAAAGTATAACAAATATATCAACTCCACATGTTCTCACTGTCTCACCTTATCTACTTGGTGTATAAGTTCTTAAAAACTTTTGAATCTTTGATATACAGGGCTATATTTCCAAATAAGGAATAAATATCTTTCTATATTGCCACATGTTTGTTCTATTCATATCACAGAGTTGCTAAATATGGTGTTGTCTAAAGCTGTATACAGTCACATGATACAGAGCCAATAAAATTGTTTGTTTTAATTAATACAGATCAGCCTAATGAAGAAAAAAAAGTAAAAAAAGTAAAAAACGTCAAAAATACAAGAAACATGTGTCTAAACCTACCTTGGGTCATTAATAAAGAATGTTGGTGAAGCAATTTTACTATAATATCTATCCTCACCTTAACTCTACTCTAACCTTTACTCTAACTCTAATTAAAAAGTCAAAAACATATGATCGCACACAGCTTTAGATGTACCCCAAATATGGAAGTGGTAAACAATACTAATCTTTTGACTAGATTTTACTTTTTGTCAAAAATTAGTTTTGGGAGCATTAAAGTAGCAAGAAAAGTTTTGGTTTTGTGAGTTTCCAACTAAAGAAAGTTTTTCCAAGCATTTATCATGTTCTTCTATTTTCAAACTTCCCAAGTTTTCTTTTCTACTTGCTGTTTCCAGAGACTCCTCTGGTTTGAATGCCAAATGCAAAAGAAAGTCTACCCAGAAAGAAAGCGAAAAGGCTTGACCTCTTTGCAAACTGTTCAAAATGCCTGCTTCTTGATGTATCACATTTAAAGACTTCATCAACAACAGTTTGTATGGAGAAAACTTCAAATTGTTATTAACTTCTAGCCTTGAGTCTTCAACTTGCTTTCAGTACTAGTAGGTTTAAGTGATTGTTAAGGAGAGTTAAATGATATATTTGATTTCTCAAATTTGCATTTACTCTTTATTATCTAATATCTACAATCTATTTAGAGCTAAACAAGTAATTATATATTTCATGATTTTGAAAATATTGTATATAAATTAAATTTTTGGTTATTTGATTTTCTTGTTGGATTGATATAATAATAAATTAGACAAATATGGAAGTAAGAGCCACAGAAAAATTATTTTTACAGTATCTGCCAAATATGCTTCTTAAATAAAAAAATAATAATATTTATCATTATTATTATTATTAAAAATTTAATATTATTACTCATAAAGTATAATACTCTGTATTATATGATACAATATTTATATAAAACTCTGTCACATTCTTAAAGCCAATCAAAATAGCATATATAATACAAACTAATTTGATTAGTAAACTTACAGTATCTTTACAAATATATTAATTTATGTAAATATATTATAGCCTTACAAACATATTGATTTATGTAAATATATCATATAGTAAAACCAAGAGACCTTCAAAAATCTGGATTATATAGTTTGTACTAGAGCTATAGTACGTATAATTATAGTATATTATCAAATAGTTTTTATATTAGTATTACTAGTTTTAAGTATTTAAAAAACTTTAATTAGCTTCATCTACAACTCTATTATATACTTTAATTAGCAAAACCAAATAATCTTTCAAAACCTGAATTATATAGTTTGCATAAGAGCTGTAGCATATATAATTATAGTACATCATCTAATAGTTTTTATATTTAGTATTACTAGTTTTAAGTACTCAAAAAACCTTAATTAGCTTTATCTGCAACTCTATTATACCCTTTAGTTAAAAGTGTTTTTGTAGAATTTTATTGTATAAATACACCTAACTTTATTTTTGAATTTAGTGATATTGCTAATGTATATGATAGTTATATATAGGTATATATATAGGTTGTGATCTTCTGATTCATATTTGTTAATTTTCATTTTACATGATTTATATCATTGTTTAAAATTATTTAGAAGTTTATTAAAGTTTATTTGATTACAAATGCGGATTTTTCTCTTTTAAATAAAATAGATTCTAAACTTTATCATAAGCTGTTATTTGATCAAGAAAATAATTTTAACTTAAAAATTTTTAATGATTGTGAGTTTGAGGAATTGTTAGAACTTTATATGAATAATGAGTTAGAGATTGTTAATGAGTTGAAGGTCACTAACATGTTAGAAGTTGATAACCAATTTGAGGTTGATAATATGTTAGAAGTTAATGATGAGTTAAAAATTGATAATAATTTAGAAATTGACAATAAATTAGAGGTTGCTAATGATTTTGAGAAACTACCAGAAAGTGAAAATACACAATCACTAGAAATTTATGTTAAATTATTATTTGAAACATAAGAACATATTAAGAAATAGTTTGATGCATTTTGTTTTCAGGAGGGCTTTAGTTATAGAACTAGAAAGAGTATATCTGATAATGATAGCATTGTTAGATGACTTACATATAAATATTCTAAATCTAGCAAATATGTTGCACAGGTTACTATATATTCTATAAAAAGATATGACAGTTCATTTTAAAGATTAAATGCTCATAGAAAGTCAATTTGTTATTTTCTAAAACTAGCAATATTATTAAAGTTACTTCTTTTAATAATATTTATAAGCACTATAAATCTTATAATTGGACAAATATCACCTCAATTCACAAATTTACTTCTAATATGCTTGATTATATTAAGAAATAGCTATTACAGCTTGGCTAAACTCTTCTTCTATATATTTTTTACTTAGTCATGATTATTCTGAATATACAATAAACAAACAAGATTTATATAATACTATATTAAAATTTCACCAGAAAAATAATCTTGGAGATTCAGATATATCGTAAATATTACAACTATTATTATAGTGAAAAGATGATGACCAAGATGGGTCATTAAATTTTGTACTGATAATATTTCAAGCTATTTAATCTTGATAATGTGGATATCACTTATGCAATTAGATTTATATTTACGCTATTCTGATGTAATTATCATAGATACTACTTCTAATATCAATTATTTTTGTCTAATTCTATATACTATTATTGTTGTTAATAGTAATTACAAATCATATATAATAGCTATAGCATTT